GTTTAATTTTGTTTAACAAGCTAATGGCGGTGACCTTCCTCCGATGATTAAAGTGATGGAGAAAACTCATCGACGCAAGGATGGGACGTTTGTTATCGCTCAAGCGGAACAAACGTTCAACGACTACAACGCACGAGTGGCAGAGCTAGAGGCACAATTATCTCCGGGTGGTAGCTCTGTCCAGTCTACATTGGGTCTCGAAGATTTGGATAAAATTTATGAGGACCTATATGATATTATAACTTATTTTCTTTTACAATTTTAACATTTTGATTGTACAAAATTCTCATTTTATAGGTTGCACCGAAAAAAGAGGGCGGACAATGGGTGTCGGATCCATCAGGGATGTCCCAGCAGCTTCTTCGTCCGCTCGGTATTCTTGCTCTCCGAGTTCTTCTCACCCGCAGTTGGTAACGCAGTTGACCGCTGCTAATGCTGAGATTGAGCGGCTAAAGACGGAACAAGCGGATCTTCGGACAACCAACACCTCCATGCAATCCCAACTCTCGACGTTGACCAGTCTCATGGACATTATTGCAGTGAGGAACCCAGATTTAGCAGCTGCCTTGGCGAACGTCCAGCATCCTACACCGTCTGCTCCACCTACCGGTCCAGCGCAGTTCGAGGAAGAAGCCGAAGCTATGATTCAACAAGATAGGGCGCGACGTTAAAATTTAAATTTACGTTTGTATTTCAGTATTTGTATACAATTTTTATTTTTATTTTCGAATAATTTAAATTTGCATTTATAATAAATCTTATTTTAATTTTCAAAATAAAATATTTTTTTTTAATAAAAACATTTGTCGACGCGAATTCGATGCTAAATTAGCATTGAATTAGCATCGAAAAGTTGCCTTGAACAAACACCGACGTAAGTTCGATGCTAAATTAGCATCGAATTAGCGTCGACTTTGTTATAGCGTCGAATTATATTTGACGCTAATGTAGCGGCGAATTAGCGTCGAATTTTATACATTGTAAATATAGCATCTATTTTACGTCAAATTAGGATTAGCGTCGACGTTTTAGCGTCGAAATGTATTTCGATGCTGTGAGGCATTAGCGTTGAATTAGCATCGAATTATGCCGATGCTAAAACTGTGTTTTCTTGTAATGATCAATCACTCCTTCCTGTGGTGAATAATTAAGTCCTCTCAAACGACGCAAGAAAGATGTCACAGAAGCTTAATAGAATTCTGGTAGATGTCAAATATGACATTGACAAATTTCCAATCCCGAAAGAACACGATCTATGTCCTGTTTCTCAACAATTATTTCCTAATGTTCAAGACTCCCTAAGTGCTTTAAGGTTTGATTACTTTATCAGGTCATTCAAGAGATATGTGGATGTTGATGGTAGATTTTCTCCGGAGCAAAGAGCAATCTTTATATAATCTGGTATAGCGCTCGTACAAATTCACCCTCAAAATAGATTATTCGATAAGGCTGACTCATTTTTTAAAATGAA